GGATTTACATCACGGGCTGTGCTGTTACAGTTCAGCCTGGAGCTTTCCAGCCTGATTCTATCTCCAGCACATTAATGGGGCATTTCCTGGTGGTTTGGGTTTTTTCTTTTTTTAGCTAAATAAATGCCTTTCCAGAGATACATTACAGTTTGCAACCCCACACGACTAGGAAGAGCAGTAGCTTGAATGCTCACCTTGGGAAACATCTGCATGCTGGGGGTTTTGCAGGGTCACATCCTCCTGAAGGGCTCTCAAACACGATGGGGGGGCAGTCACCAGAAGGAGTTCCTTGCTCAGCCCCTGCTCCAAAGGGCACAGCAGGGTGAGGCTGTCCCTGCTGCACACCAGCCTTGGCACTGCCTGATTCCAGGCTGTGCTGCTTCAGAAAAACAAACTGGCTGAAAAATGTTCCTTCTGCTCCCTCAAGCAGAAACTGGAGCCCAGGCACATTTAGAAAAATCCAAGCAGTTTTTGGCCCTCAGCAGAACAGCTCCTTTTCAGCCAGACACACACGAATGACTGGACAGTCCCTGTTGCTGTCAGGAGTGAGAAGACTAATTCTCTGCACATGGAAAGCAAAACTTGAATGTTAGCATCAGGCCTGCTGAATCTGCTCGTGACCCTCCAGCAGAGACAGGAAAGCAGAGCTAGGGGCCATGCAGTAAGGCAATCCTCTTCTCTCACCCAAGTCGGTTGGGAGGGGAGGAAGAGCATAGCACTGCTGTAGCAGCCAGTCACAAAAACCTAAGGAAAGGTAATGGGGAGGTTTGCTCTGTGAATAAACTGGAAGGATCAAAAAGGTTCAATGAAACCATCCCAAGGTGCAGCCCAGGCACACCACCAGCTCCCAGCACAGTGCTGATTCAGCATTCACAAGCAGCAGCAGGGAGAAGTGAACCAGCAGCGCAGCCAGTCTTGCTCCCAGTTACTCAAACACTCAGTTTTGATCCAAGCTGGAGTTCTGACTGTGCCACAACCCACAGCCTCTTTCCACTCACTACTGCTGCAAGGCAGTTTCTCATGTTCCTCAGCCTGGGATTGTTGGTTAGCAGGAGGAACTGAGGAGCACAGATGGTCCCAACTGCTACTCAGCTGTAAAGTGATGTGTCTCCAATGAAAAACACAGGCTTGCATTTCTGACTGTCTGCTCCTGGCCATGGACCTTTCAGAAAGGTGTTGTAAGGAGGCAGATGTTACACTACTACTTCCATGGTGGACACAATATGACAAAACAGCTCCAAAAAACCCAAGACCTGAGTGCTGGAGATGCTCTCCAGAACACCCAGGGAGGAACACTGTGGGAAGCACAGGCTGCACACCATGGTGAAAAGCACTAGGGGAGCAACACAGGATGCACAGGTGTATGGGAAGGAGCCTCTCTTACCTGTGCCTACCTCTACCTGCCTGTTCAAATCCTCCAAATGGACACAGCAGCACTGCTGCAGTCCTGTGTGGCAGCTGGAGGAGAGAGGCAGGCACTGAGGTGGTGTCAAGTGCTGATGAAGTCTGAGCAACTCACTGAGGTTGGCATTTAAATTCATTTCTAGTAAGGCCTGCAAATGCAAATAAGTAATAAGCAGGTTTTCCATAAACCGCTTATGGAGAGGTTCGTGGCCAAGAGCAAGTTGTACAACCTCCCCAGCCTGCTACTGTAGGAAAGGTAGAGAAAAAGAAGGGGAGCTAGATAAGAAATCTTGCTTTAGCAGAGCACTCTCATGCAGTGCCTTCTGTTGCATGGTCAAATCTCCCTGGGGCAGAGCATCTGCTGCCTACAGCAATCCTGCTGCCTGTGATCCTGCTGCCCACACTGCCCCATGCAGCAAAGGAAAGCTGTGCCTCTGAGCTTTGTCTAGCCTCTCCTTTTTTAACCTGAACACAACGTGTTTTTGGTAAAAACCTTTGGTAAAAATGGAATAAAGAAGGAAAAATCATTAACTTGAGGCCAGACAGGGATATTTTCCTCTAACAGCAAGCAGAAAAAAAAAGTCACTTGGTTTTTACAGAAAGAGTTATGCAAGGTAAAAACAGTTTTAGTGGCTTCATATACAAAGGATGTTTCAGAGACAACAGAGGGAAAAGTGAGTGTGGCACTGAGGCCTCTCCATGGATTTGTCCC